AAAAGAATCAATGACAATGGGACTTTTCCACATTTTGTTGCATTACAACCGCTTTTTATGATTTTATGTGATGGATCAACACAAAGAGATTTCTTGGAGATATTATTGAACAAACAACCACATGAAGATCAAGGAACTCTGCAGACCGGTCAGGGAGGAAGCTGTGGGGAAGATTTAAAGAAGGGTTGGCTTATAAAACCAAATCTCAAACTTTGGAAGGTCTCGTTTAATACTTCAGATTAAAATGGAAAGACCTACCAAACCCACAGTTCCTGCATCTATATGTTAATCATAAGATAAAAATGTTGAAAGATTTTACTCATGCATTTTCGTTCCTTCTTGAATTAAGAACAAAAAAGTTTTATTTTCATGTTTTTGTAGCTAAAATCTATAAAACCATTCCGATTTAATAAAACTGCTAGACAAATCTGTACCAAAGTAGAGAGTACAGTAATGTCCTTAATATTGAATGTGTAAATTACTCAAACCTCTCAGTTAATTATGCAAACATGAAGCTGGTGATGTTTTTGTTGTAGGTAAAGCCGTTCAGATGGCTGCAGATTTGGACATGGAGGCAGCGGGAGGGGAGGGCTGGGGAGACGATGCTGAGCTCACCATGGATGAAGGTAAATCAGAAACTGTTTCTCCAAAGCTTCTTTTAGTTGATTTAAATCTTTTGTTCCTCTATATTTACTAAATATATTTTCCCTTTTTTCTCAGACGGCTTCATTGATGCCCAGGATGGATTAGGAGATGAGGGGTTGGGCAAAGAGGAAGGAGGAGGCTGGGATATCGACGAAGAAGTGGAACTTCCTCCAGAGCTGGTGAGAGGAGAAACATAATTGGAAGCAAGACAAAAATCATAAAATGTTTTTAAAAAAAATTTTTCTAAACTTTTAAGGCTGAAATTCTACATATTTTCATCAATATTAGGGTTGCAACTAATGATTAACTTGGTAATAAATTTATTCTAGCAATTATTCTGATCAGAAATATCGGCACATTCTCCAGATTTTTTATTTAGACACATATTGGAAAAGAACAAAAAACACAAATAATTAAATAATTTAGTTCCTTTTATAAATGAGAAAATAATTGTATTGCCTAAAATGCAACAAAATAACATTCCTTCAGTGTAGGGTTGGTAATTTGTAGCAAAGCATGCTAAAAATTACTGCTCTCTATTTTGTTTTTGGTTTTGATAAATAAACTGTACATATTTCACAGAATTTGAACCAGGTGAATCTAAAACTAGACCATTTCCTGAGTTCTGGGTAGAACATATTTACAGACAAAGAAAGCTTTTCCACCATAAATGAAAAATGTACATATTATTTTTGGACATTTCTGGCTTAATTGCTGCTCTGAGTGAGAGGTTATTGCATCAAATAGCCATTTTTAAATTCTGTTTACTTCAGTTAATGATTCAGTTAATGATTAATCGATTACTAAGTTATTCCATTAATCGATTGATCACGATTAATTTGATTAATTGTTCCAGGCCTGATCAATAGAGATGTTGTTTTACCCTGAAGCTCCTTTATACTTTGATCCATCTTAGTAAAAAGTAACACTGAAATTCTCTTCCACCCATCAGGACGTTCCTCTGGGAGCAGGAGGGTCAACAGAAGATGGATTCTTCGTGCCGCCAACCAAGGGCATGAGTCCAACCCAAATGTGGTGCAACAACTCGCAGCTGCCAGTCGACCACATCCTGGCTGGATCCTTTGAAACCGCTATGAGAGTATGTTTGTATTTTTCTGTCCTGCTAGCTTAATGTGCAACAAATCCTAACATGTACTCTACATTTGCAATCATTCTCACTAAACTAGTCATGACGTAAAAATGTTTTCAGTATTAGGACTGATACAGATATTAATATCGGACTGGCCTCTCTTTTCTTTTCACAGCTGCTCCACGACCAGGTGGGAGTTGTGAACTTTGACCCCTACAAGTCGCTGTTCATGCAGACTCTGTCTAGAGGCCGAACCTCTTACCTGGGGCTGCCGTCTCTACCTTGTCTGCGCGGTCACCCTCAGAGGAACTGGAAGGTGCGTCTGCTGGCTGCGATGTATTTCAGCTGCCTGCTGTAGATTCAGGTTCCTCCTGCTGACCCTGGCATGTTTCTGTAGGACTGCGGGGCGAAGCAGGGACTGCCTGCTGTGGGGCTGCGCCTCTCCGACCTGATCTCTCGCCTCCAGCAGTGCTACCAGCTGACCACGGCTGGGAGGTTCGAGGAAGCCGTCGAGCGCTTCAGAGCCATCCTGCTTTCTGTTCCTCTGCTGGTGGTCGATAACAAGCAGGAGATTGCAGAGGTGAGCCAGTCGGTTCTTATATGGGTGCTGGAAATCCTTGAACATGCTTCAGTTTCAATGGAAATGGCTTTATTTTCAAACTGTAGTTTAACATTTTATTAAAAGCCTACACATGTTAAAATGATATTTTCAGTTAAACCAGATTATTTTCATACAGATAATAAAACGACACATATTCGTTGTCAGCCTGTGAAGATAAATCAGACTAAACTTTTCTTGTTTTAGATGAGTTAGAATTATAAAAAATATTTGTGTTTTCTTAATGCTAGAAACTTAATAGTGATTTGAAACACTTTTTTTTAGTTTATTTGTATTGTTTTATCATAGTTTTATATTTCCATCTATTTATATTTTAAAATGTATAACTTTGTGTTTTAGGCTCAGCAGCTCATCACAATATGCAGAGAGTACATCGTGGGTCTGACCATGGAGGTTGAGAGGAAGAAGTTGCCTAAAGAAACTTTGGATCAACAGAAGAGGATTTGCGAGGTAAAGATGTTGTGATCATACCTGATTGTTTTTTCTTCTAAATATTCAGAAATTATTATTATTATTATTTTTTAACTGTTTCTGTATTTTCCTGCAGATGGCTGCGTATTTCACCCACTGCAACCTGCAGCCGGTCCACATGGTTCTGGTGCTGCGCACAGCTCTGAACCTCTTCTTTAAACTTCGCAACTTTAAAACAGCCGCAGGATTTGCGCGGCGCCTCCTGGAGCTTGGCCCGAAGCCAGATGTTGCACAGCAGGTTGTCACCGATTCTTTCTATTTCCCCCCGCCCCCATCATGTTGTCATAAATGACTTGTACTCATTGAGTGATCGCTTCCCTCTCCTGTGATTTAGACCCGTAAAATCCTGGCGGCTTGTGAGAAGACCCTAACCGACACCCACCAGCTGAACTACGACCCCCACAATCCGTTTGATCTGTGCGCTGCCTCCTTTGTTCCCCTCTACCGAGGGCGTCCTGTGGAGAAGTGCCCCCTCTCTGGAGCCTGCTACTGCCCTCCATACAAAGGCCAGATCTGCAGGGTCACTCAGGTAAAGAGAGAGGATTGTGAATTTGTTAGCAAATCACCAAACTAGCTATAGAAAAACACACTTGCCATGAAAAAATATCAAAAGTTTAACCATTACAGCTGTTCTGTTAACTGTTTTTAAAAGAGAAAAATTCAATAAAAAGTTCACATGAAGCTTTTCTTTTTTTTTTTTACAGCCATACTAATTTTACAGCAAAAATTTTAATGTAATGGATAAGAAAACATAATAGGGAATAGAGAAAACTGAACGGATTGAAAAATATGAGCTGAACAGAATACGCTGATATCTATGCAACATGGAAAGAGATGAAATTAAACGTTTTCCTCTCCTAGAAACTTTTAAAATTTAAAATGTATTTCTAATTATACAAATCATGTTTAAAGGATAGAAATTAGGACTAATGCAGCATTTTAAAGCTAAAAGTCTGGGTTAATTAAGGTCTTTTAGCTTATTTTAAACCCTGTGGAAAAATCCCAATCAGCTAAGTCGTGATAGTCCTTTTATCAGCAGAAATATCAAGATTGTACAATGCACAAGCTACTTTTAGAAATGGCTATATGAAATAAAATGTGTTCTGCTAGTATTATTTGTTATAGTAGACATTTAAAATTCTGAATTTAAGTTGTGTAATCACAATTATGTTAATCAAAAGTAAAATGGTAGTAGAGGTAAAACAAATTGATTAGTATAAACTTCACATAGATGGGTTTCATGTGATGCAATATTTACTATTTTTTATTTTCATTGCTTGTAATTGTAAATTTGGTTTTCATTTTGTTAAATGTGAATTAATAAAATTCCATGCAGTTTATTTTGGCTATTTTTATCTATAGAATTGGAAAAATTATTAACCAATGGGAGGAAGTAGGTTTCCTTGCTGCTTTCTTTTATCTTCTAACTTATAATTTTATATTCCAGGTGACGGAGATCGGAAAGGATGTGATTGGTCTGCGTGTGAGCCCACTCCAGTTCCGCTAAGAAGAGAAAACGTTCTGCGAAACAAATCCAACGTACCATCTACTAGTTGAGCAAATGCTAACCGCTTCAGTCTTGTGTCTTTACTCCATAACTTTGAAATGAATATAAACAATGCTTTTCTTTGTCTTCTCTTCTCTTTAAGCGTATAGAAATATTACTGTTAATTTTGTCTGAGCACAAAATTAATCATTCAAAGTGTGTGGCACTGGTCCTTTCATCTGAAACGATAATAAAATACCTGATATTGATGAAAACCGCATTGTTTGGCATATTTCTGTTGTATTTTGCTTTCTCTGGTGGTACATAAAATACCCTCTACCTTAGGTTTTTATTTCTTGAATGTGGATCTGGATTCACCTTGATGAACCACAACGCTAGGAGATTGAGGATTTCAATTGAACTGGGGTTACCCCATCTTTGTGAGGGATTATAAAACCCAAGCTCACCAAGTCTTAAATAACAAGTAAATAAATAAATTTGATGCTGTTCAGTTTATTTGTACGTTTTCCAAAGGGAAGAAATCCTGATAAAAGAATCAGTTCCAGTACTTCATATGGAGTCCGTGTTCCTCAGACATGAATACGCACTCCACTGCCACTTTCAAGATGGCGGCGACCTAACGTCGTCTACGTATTGGAGGTCCTTAAGGAAAGCGGAACCAAAAAACCGGAACCCGGGTGTTTCCCAGATCTTCACTTCCTGTTGTGTTTTTCTGCCTTTCAAACCAGGAAGATGGATTTGTTGTCGAACAAATGGATTGTATATTTGGCATTATGTCTGTTTGTCGGTGGTAAGTTGAATTGTTAGACTGTCGAGTTTGTGGCGCTTTATGTCTAGCATTAGCTGAAGTATGTTTGTCTTTTATTAGATTAGCTTGGTATAGTTCCTTGTGCCGTAGCTAGCTGGATGCTAGGCTAGTTAGCCGTAGCAACAGCTGCACAGTTTGTCTTTCAAATCTCCGTTTTATGCAAGTTTAGGAATTGCGTTGAGGGATGGGGGTAATTTTAGTACAGTTGCGTTCACATAAGACTGAAAAATGACCGTATTTTGTCTTGTCAAAGGTCAGAGTTGACTTTTAAGTCAATCAGAAACAACACTGAAGTTAGCTTTTGTTTTGGCACACCGGCAAGAGGTTATTTGGCCGTTTTTAAGAAATCAGAACCACCTTTCAACTGGCTCTAATTCAAAGTCCTAAAGTACGTAGAGTATTTATACCGGATTTATGTAATTCTGCAGTAAACAATCACATTCCGGCGAATACCGTACCGTTTGTGAGCTGGGAAACCTTTTTAATCTGTTTATGACAACTCAAAAGGGCCTATGATCGAGGCTAGTCTTATAACTGAAGGATGTTTATTCTGTACAGAACAGAAAACATTTATTTAAACACAGTTTGTGAAGTTTGAATCCTAAATAAAGTACTTAGATTCATAAAATGTGAATTGGACGGAATACGTGTTACTTAAAAGATGTATTCATGTCATAATTAACATGAATACATGTAAAAGTAAAAACGTCCTACTTTGCAACTACTTTAATTAAATTATTTAAAAATATGATTTCTTCGCTGACAAGTTCTGCATTGTAAACTCACAATCTTGTATATTTTTATTTTTTCAACATTAAATGCAGGTTCTTCTTGGCACTGCTAACAAAACAAACTATTTTGAATTATTTTAAACTATATACAATTTAAAATAATTCAGTTCAGGTTTGACCATTTTGTGATTTTATTTCTACATATATTTTGAACATTAGTTGTTCAAAGATAGAAAAACCCTTTAATGAATCGCCGAATCAGAAACCAACTTCAGCATGGTGACTTGGCATCAGTGTGACTGCTCGTGATTTTCCGCAGAGCTGAGATTCACTTCCACGATTTCAAACTAAACTTATTGTATTTTTTTTATTTTAAAATACAAAAGTCACTTTCAGAGAGTCAAGGCGTGTAGTGTTGCAAAGGAGCAATTTATTCCATAGTTTCAATTTACAAGATGTAAAATAATAATAATAATAAAAACAAATCACTAAATGTTGAGCAAAAGTCATTTTACTGCCTCTTTAATTTTAAGGTTATAAACTTTGCTTAAACTTTTATCTGAGGTATGGACGTCATTACGCAGTTTTATGCCTGCTGAATGAATACACTTTGTTATTAATGGAGAAACATTATAATATACATTTCTGAACTGGCTGCCATTTCTTATCCAGATTAATTTAATCTTGAGTTCTTGACAATTTTTATTAGTAAAAATCTCCTTTAGATTTTAAAAGGACATTTTATTTTGTTGCTGTGATGCAAAATGGATTTATATCTGGACAGATGTCATCTTAAATGTAAATAAATGGTAAATGTTTTTAGAACAGCTGTAGTTTTGAAGCTATTTTTTCAAAAGTAGTTAACAAAGCTAATGTGGATGTATCTGTTTAATCGTTAATCTCCATATTTAAAGCAAAATCTGCCATAAATTTACATTATATCTTTAACTTTGATCATTGTAGTAAAACAATGACATTTTAACAAATGTATAATAGAGCATGTTAGTTTATCATTTGGTTTATACATTTTCCACAACTGGTTGTTTCAGTGATGATGTCTGAAAAAGTGAATTATCCGTGTTAAATATCAAAAAAACCTCTGAAAATAGTCTTCTATAATACATATAAATGTAAACTTAATTTTAGGGTTTTCTAATGATCACTTTGTGTTTTTTCTCTTTGCAGGTGTCAGTTGTAATTCAGTGGAAAACAAAATTTACGTCAAGCTCAACTACACTGTGCCGTGTGTTCGACTTCTTAATTCAACCCATCAAATAGGCTGTCAGTGTGAGTATAGCGGCACATATATGTGGCTTTAGCTGCTTCTGACATTCAAAATATATGCAGCTTTTTATTTTTCCACCACATAAAGTTGTTGCAGTTTATTTTAAAGGTGTTTTGTCCACCTCCTTATGATGTGTGCCAGTAATTATAGAGGTAATCATTGCTACTTCATTTTCTTTATGGTTTCGCTCTTTGACACCAACAACCGTGTGACTGTTGTGGATAGAAAGAGCGCTGTAAAGGTTAAAGGTCATAGCAAAACACACATTCCTGCAATATAAATATCCAAGGATCATAATCTGATAAACTGTTCTTTCTGTGACAAAAACATCCCCAGAATCGATGCATATTATTGATTTTTTTATAGTAAATTATTTGATGTAGTTGAAGACCAAGTAAATTTTCAGGATGTTTATTGTTGTGTTTCTGTTCTGTTGCTGTTACTAATATTTAGTTCTGTCCGTTTAGCATCTTTGTCGGGCGATGTTGGAGTGCTCCATGTGCTTGAGTCAGAAGAAAACCTGGACTTTGTGCTTCGTAGTGGCCGCAATCCTCCTTACATGGTCATCATGGAGTCTTCACTCTTTACCAGGTACGGTTCGCCGGTGACCCGTCGCCAGAGGGCAGAGGTTTATGAAAATGATTCATTATTAAAACTGAAAACTTGGTTTTCCAGCTCAAGGTTGGAGCTTTAAAACATTTATAAAAGAAACAGACATGACACTGTGATAAACATGAAGGAGTCTTTATGAATGTTCATGACTGTTGACATGAAGTGACATGACTACTTTTAATGCAAACTTGCATTGAAAGTTAATTGTATGATAAATTAAAACAAGCTCAATAATTCCATTTGCATGATTTATTGCTTTTCTCTTTTCTACCAAAAACTGGATGGTAAAAATCTTCAGTCTGGTGTTTTGGTCTCAATTAGTACTTTATCTGAAGGATAATGTCGTTTACAAAGACTTCATAATTCACTTTATTTTTTGTTTCTGTTGTTTTATTTATTTATTTTGGATATTTA